ACCTCGTGGTGGTGGGCGGGGACCGCGTGGTGGGCCCAGATTGTGCTGAGTGCTGTTGAGACAGATAGGCCGAGATAAATTTAAAGGAACCCCTCGACCCTCATCTTTCGTCACGTGGCCAATGCCCATAATTGGAATTAGCTTACGTTGTTTGTTTCCCCACTTATCCACCCCCATCTCTTCCTTCCTTTGACGCAATCTCCGGTTTTGGCCCCAAGAACACCGAACTGTCAATAGTAACTGGTAACTTTATACTTTATTGGAAAGGGTTAGAAATGGGGTTTGGGGTGGAGTAATGATTGTTGGATACTAGATCTATAAATATTGGGGCCACAAAAGAGGATTAACTCGTCCTTACCTTTCTGTCCATCTCTGTTCATTTATTCAATCATTTTTGTCTGCGTGCCTGTCTTGAGCTCCGCCGTGGGTGTGACCGACTTAACACGTAGCCTATGTTCAAGCAGAGACAAGAGCAGGGGTGCACAGAGGTAGAAAAAAGTGATGGCAGTTTCTGTCCCGCGTTTCCCTTGTGTGACATATGGTACGGTGCGCGGAGTGCCCTTTTGCTCCGTCTCACGTGCATCTACCGTAGGTCTACAAGGGTCATTAGGTCCATTTGTTACCACCCCCACCCCCCTCCACACACACACATAATATTGTACTCACCCCGACTCTTTTCATATTGACTTACTAACGATACCCCAACAGGATACATGTGTGCAGACGTTTGCTTCTTTTTATGTTTTTGCTTTGTCTCATAATGTGTTACTGATGTGTCCTTGTGGTGGGTGGGAGGGCGCCTGTTGTAGATCTTACTCCTTTTCTTTCCCCTAGTTGTTCCTCGCGTCTGTTCCCTGTCTCTCCCCTCCTCCCCTTCGTCGCAAGGGTTGAGTAGACGCTTTTGTGTTCATGTGCTTCTCTTTACTCAAACAATAGGAAACTGGACGTGTTCGTTATAATGCTTGTTCGTTTATTCGGCCCACTTGTTTCCACAAGGTTGTTAAGTTGCTATTTTTATTGAACGCCTCCCCTCTCCCTCGGGCGGTGTAGGATTCAAATCACACGTTAATCAAACCCGCCTTTGACTCCTTTGTGCAGACAGGCTGAATGTATTCCGCCCACCATAGTAGTAGGCTACTTCTCACGCCCACCACCCACCACCCACACCCACCACCGCCGCACACCATTGTGTGTTCCCATCTGGGTGAAAAAAAGAGCAAACTACGAGCTGGGCGAGTCTGACTGAGCAATATGTTGTCCTGCTGGTCCTTTGCGAATCTGTCGTGGTTAACCTTTTCAAGCTGGGCTGTCGGTGTGACAGTGTTGACTTGATTCTTTTCATCGGGTTTGACATGGCACATGTTCAAGTTGAGAAGTGAGGTGGCGGAGTGTGTTGGTGATGGAGGTAGGGTTTGGGGGGG